CGGCGATGAAATATAAATTTTCCAGTTTAACACGTGTGAGGCTTTCGCGACCAATATTATTCATAATAAAGTTTTTGGGTTATATCGCGTTATTTATAAATGTGTCGTAACCCTCCACCACCCGACACGGCCAATCAGCAAAAAAAGTGTCACGTTAACAAAAGACAAATAGTTCACTACTTTAGCCCACCGGTGTGTTTAAGAGTGAAACCACAACATTTACAATTTTTGAGTACGCCGTTTCGCTGGTAATTGCATCCAGCATCATCGGGCAATTCGCCAGAATGGTGAGGCTCTGCTGGCTCTTGCTCCCGGTACAAATTATCCGTGAACGCACCCTGCGCTAAGAAGCCAAGCACGCGGGCACGATTTTTCGTCCTCGTGTTTGCTCGCTGCGCGCAGCTTAGGAAAAGTGCTCGCGGGATTCTGGATGTATCGTCAAAGACAGACAGCTTCGTTTGCATAACGAAGTGGGGGGGGGGGAGGGGGGAGCTGTGAAACCTACGCGCGGAAGAGTGAGTGCGGCCCTCCTACTAAGCAACATCCGAGAGCAGCCACCTCATTTCGTTAGTTGTCACCCATCCACGTGCGAGCCAAGCCCGATGCTGCTTAGCTTCAAGCGAGCTGACAAGGTGACACAGCGGGGGGAGCTGTAATGAAGCCACGGGACGGCATCCCGACCATGCCTCAACCCCTTGCTCGCTTTGACGTCTGTGGCGATGCATTTCTTTTTTCAGTAAAATATTTCGGGAGGTAACGAAGAAGAGAAAAAACTTCTCGTTTTGAGTGTTTGCTTCATTTTTAGACTTAAAACTTTCGTCACTGCAGGAATTCTTGTTTCTATCGGTAACGTCACGTGACTTTGCCGAAAGAACCAGGAATATGTTTGCTTCATCGCAGAAGTTTTCCCCTTTTGTGTTTACTTGAGTTAACGCAATTAACGGATGTTCCGTTTGGGAGCGGTGGTGCAGCGGTGGAACGAACTGTGCCACGAACCGCGTGAGCCGAGATCGATTTCTGGCCACGGCTACCATCGGTGATATTTTAACTTGTACTGGGCCTCCCCCCCTTTGCTTTCTTTACCCAACCCGCACGAAACCACCGTGGTGAAGTATGGTCAAACACGCCCCCCACGACCCAGTGGCATGGCTGTGAGTGTGCAGGCGGTGCAACTGCAACGTGCCCGACGGATCGGAGGCCTCGCCAGCCACGCGGCACCACTGCCATGACCCACACGGCGCGAGGTGGATTGGCAAAGGGTAAACAATAGCACCGTAAGCCTGGGATGATTAGTCAATGAAGTTGATTATGCGATACAAAAAAATGGAGATCCAGAATTTTGTATAATTTACTCAGGCTCCTTTAAAATAAGTAATATTAAAAAAACTTTTTTTTTAAACACGCTTTTATGAAATGTACTAGTAATGGCAGAACTCCACGACTCCAGGAAGTGGCCCCGAAGCTTTCCATAACGTAAGAGACCGTGGTGATCTACAGCCAACGTTAGTTGAGCGTGGACAATTAGACCCAAGCCGAAACATAACATGTAAAAAATCATGTTCACAAATGTTTTTTTTTATGATAGAATATAGTATTGTCATCAGTATGACATAAGTATACCAAGTTTGCAGTCAATACCACATTGGGAAGTGGGTTACAATTGAGTTACAAGATTTGAGGATACAACAACAACCGACAGAATGAGTTAAAAGAAAGCGTGTAATCCAAAAAGCCACCGGTGGCTCGCCTCCGAAGGCAGGAAACCCCCGACAGCCCGCCCCGGCGTGACGCCGGTGACGATGCGGACGACGTCAGCCCCGCCCATTACCTCCCGTTCAGCGGCACACGTGGGGGGGAGGGATGCGCGACTTTACCTTACCCTGCCCCCACAATCATTGTCGCGTTATCCGATTTGTCGCGAGTAACGGAACCCCCCACCCCTCCCCCTCCTCTTCCCCCGCCCACTTCTTTCCCCACCCCTCCCCCTACCCCCTTACCTCGCCCACTTCTCCCCCCACCCCCTCCCCTTCCCCCGCCCACTTCTCCCCCCACCCCACCCCCTCCCCTTTCCCCGCCCACTTCTCCCCCCACCCCACCCCCTCCCCTTCCCCCGCCCACTTCTCCCCCCACCCCACCCCCCTCCCCTTCCCCCGCCCACTTCTCCCCCCACCCCACCCCCTCCCCTTCCCCCGCCCACTTCTCCCCCCCACCCCACCCCCTCCCTCTTCCCCCGCCCACTTCTCTCCCCCACCCCACCCCCTCCCCTTACCCCGCCCACTTGTGCCCCCTCCCCCTCTCCGCAGGGAGGGACGCGAATTTAAAAATGCGCGTCGGTAATTAAACCAAAAAAAGGCACATGGCAAATTGGGTAATTAAACCAAGGCCGTAATTATAATATATTCAAATATGCTCAAAATGTCCCCCCCAATATGTTGCTATAAAATAGATTTTTGTTTATATGATTGTTATGGTTGTACTTTATTCATCCCTAATCTCTGCCATTACATATAATGAAACAAGAAAAGGTAAAAAAGAAAAAAATCAGAGCCAAGTAATACAATAAACTATTAGACATTATTGTAAAAAATAAATAAAAAGTCCATCCTATGTGTTAGTGAATTTTTTTATATTTTAGGCAGGAAATTCGTTTTCAAATTTAGATTTTTTTTTGGGTTGGACCCCCACACCCCCTGGAAGATTTGGTCCCCCCCAATGTTGACTCCATGGTTATGGCCTTGAATTAAAGGCCGTGCCCCGTTTGCCTCGCACGTAACGCTATTCGCTATGTATGTGGGGAGCGGTGATGTAGCAGTTAGCGCTACGCTGCGCTACGAACCGCTCACGGCCAACAACCACCAGTGACGATTATCTGAATCGGTCCCGGGCCTCCCCTAGGTCGACTCAGCCTCAAAATAAGTACCTGGTTGCGGTGTGTAAACATCGCGTGGTGATCGCCACCAACCCCCTCGTGTGCCGTGCCGGCCTTTATAGGTGCTCGCTAACAGCAATTGCTCCAAACAGTCTGTGAATACTATACGTGGGGATCTTTCATAGCAATGGTGTTTGATGAATTGTTACGATTTAGAGAGCCGTGATTTCATTAAAAAAAAAATATTTTGCGTGAAATTGTGGCGCTTCGAATGGGCCGCGCGTAAATTAATTACGAGGCGAAAATGAGAATAGGGTTTACCCTTTCTGCCGATAAAACAGCTGTTCCAACACCAAATAGAAACATTTCGCAAGGAATCAAGTGTGCGTTAATCACACACGGTAGTTGTGGTGAACATGCATGCAAACAAACATTGTCTCATAATAGCTGCCATTGTCTTTCAAACTGATTGGTCTACACCAGAGGCGGCTTTCTCTAGGACACTAGTGTCAGATGAGAGAACGCCAAATGGCGAACAGCACAAAAGGGCCGTCCATAAATGACGTCACGCGATTTTGGACGATTTTTTACCCCCCCCCCCCCTCGTCACACGGCGTCACAAAAAATCAGACCCCCCCTCAAATATGACGTCACAAAGCTCTGCCCCCCTCAAAAAAAATATAAAACATGCTTCAAATCGCTTTAAACTATTCTAATTGTAGTGCGTATTTAATGTGGCGATGCACTCTGATGCTGAATGAGAAAACATTTTCTTGGCTATTTCGGTAAAGTCACGTAGAAGGGAAATGATAAAATAAAATGTTTTTAAAAATAATGTTTTATTTTTATTATTTTATTATTTCCCTTCTACGTGACTTTACCGAAAGAACCAAGAATATGAATCCCTGCAGTCACGAAAGCTTTAAATAGAAAAAAATAAAAAAAAACATTTATTAAAAAGTCTATTTAATTAAGTAGAACGTGTTGTCTATATTTATTTAAAGTTGCGTATTTTGATGTGACGTCACATTTCTCAACCCCCCCCCCCTCGTCACACATCGTCACAAATGTCTGACCCCCCCTCCCCCCTAGGTACGTGACGTCATTTATGGACGGCCCCAAAGACAATGCACTATCAGGGAATTTATAACTCGGGGTGAGAAGCTACAAAATGAGACATTTTTTACTAGTATCAAAGTATGAAAAATCATCTGTTTTTACTCTTTCTCGCAATAAAACAGGTGTTCAGATGTTTGGTGTTTGAACATCTGAACGCCAGTTTTAGTGCCAGAAAGGGTAAAACGTATTCTTATTCTTTCGGTAAAGTCACGTAGGCATAAAATAAATTAAATAAATGTTATTTTATTATTTATTTTATACCTACGCGAAATAAAATACAAATATATATAATTTATTTTATACCTACGTGACTTTACCGAACAAACCAAAGAGTATGGATTCCTGCAGTCACGAAAGCTTCAAATCAAGGTTCCATTTTAATTATAAGGCGAGTTGAAAATATGGAAGATCGTTTTTTTTGCAGGCGCGCGATTTTGCTGCGCCCATCTGTGCGGTGTTCTCCTACGCCAGAAAAATTGTAAATTAAATTGTGGAGGCGGGGGGGGGGGATATATGAAATAAAAAGTGTGTATTTTAATTGAGTGACACATCGTTCATAATTTTTACAATAATCTGAGCTAAAATAAACAAATAAAAATTAGTAATGCACAGCCCTTGATTAATCCAATAACCTATCTACGGCATGTCTGTTATGTGGGTTATTTGACCATACTTCACCACGCCTGGTCAATGCGGTGAAAAGTTGGGGGGGGGGGGAGGGAGGGCGAGGGATGGTTCTGATTCACATTTCACTTCGCCACTGATGTTAGCCGTGGACGGGAATCAAACTCGGGTCACTCGCTTCAAAAGGTCTTGGGCTAACCGCTTCACCACCGACTCTTTGCCCTCACACTGAAAACTGAAATGTAATCGTTTTAGCTCAGACGATGTACTTGTGTGTGTTCACAAATTGCCACCCCCCCCCAAAAAAAAAAGGTACACATTTAATGAAACGCACACTCCCGTGTCAAAATACCAAATAAAAACGCAATCAAAATCACTCGTGTTTTATTGTTCACGTTTGTTTTTATTATAAGTTGTTTATATCATCGTCGTTATGAAAGGTTATAAATACGTGGTGGATATGTTTCAAATACAGCACACACACACAAGTCGCACATAATCATGAATGAAGCCCAACTAATATCCGTATTTTCCACTGCATATCCGAGCCATGCCAGGGTCCCTGCGAAACTAGCCTGGTGCAGCCAGCATGGTTTTTCCACTGCACAACCGAGCCATGCCAGGACACTGCCAAGCGAGCTTGGTGCTGCCAGCATGTTCTTTTCCACTGCACAACCGAGCCATGCCAGGGCCCTTTGGCAAACTAGCCTGGCGCAGACATAATTATTTTTTTCCACTGCAGAAGCTGAGCCACGTGCGTTGAACGAGCACTTGACGCCTTTCCGTGTTGTTTAACACGTAGAAGTAGTAGTAGGGCTTTGGCGAGCAATATTATTAATAATAAAGTGGTTTTTTTTTGGGTTAGGTACTTTAAAAATAACATGTGTCATTAAAACCGCCACCACCCGACCACACAGCCAATTAGTAAGGTTTGTCATAAACAAAAACGTGCCAATTATGTGCTACTTCAGCACCACCGATGTGCTGGAGGACAGTAAATGTGTGCTCGGGGTGGTGGCGGGCTTAACGACACAAATTTATATTTACGTGATCTAACCCCCCCCCACCCCACCCCCAAAGAAAGAAAAAAAAACCTTTATTAATTCTGAGTTGTACTTGACTGACGTCTCACGCACTTGCACACGTCATTAGCCCCGCCCCTGGCCCTGCTTGGCCACCGAACCAGATTGCAGATGTCTCTTTTGTGAGGCTGGCATTTCAATGTGTTGGTTGCCCCGTGCTGGTGTGGTTCGGGTGTGGCCGGTGTAAAAGTGCTGCGTACGCAGATGAAGAATTATTATTCCCTTAAAAAAAAGGCTAAAGGATGTGGATAGAGCTTTGTGGCGCCTGGAATGAAGAAAATCACCCGTGGAAATGTTAACACAATTATAAAGACAACACACACACACGCAATGTTGAGACTACAGTTGTCAAAACCGTAAGAAAAAATATTTAGAATGTAATAAAAAAAAACTGTGCCTCCTTCTGTAAGAAAGTAATTCTATCAGGTTATTGTTTTTACGACTCAAAAAAAATCTTTGTTTTATTCGTGTATCTTGTTGCTGCTGTAGTTTATCTTTGTGTTTAACGTCAATGTTTGCTTTTTTCTATTGGGGCCTAGTCACGTGGTGGTATTTTGCGCCGAGTCGTCGACGTTTTCCATTGGTAACGTGCCCCCCAAACCCCCCCAACCCCCCCAGGTCTTGCGCCGGAAAATCGTGAACCTCGGGCGCGGATCTGTGAGGGGAGTACAAAAGAAAAAATAAGTTAGACACGAGAGCGAGCGGCAGTCAGTCAGAACGCGTTCCCCATTTTACCTCGGGGAGAGACACTTTTTAAAAATCCTTTATATTAAGTTTACTTGCTTGCTTGCGCGCTTACGACCGTGCAAATCTTTCGGTCGTTTTTTAACCCACTTCCCGTGATCCAATCGAGCTGACATTTTGCACACAGAATCGTTGTGCGTGACAATTTATTTTCGTGAAAAATTTTTCCAAAATTTTCCACTTTTTGGGAATTTTTTTTTCATCTTTAATTTAAAATACCAATGTGATAAAAATGAAAGTCTTACTCAAGAAAAACAGAAATGAATAATAAAATAAAACCGATGCCACGCATATAAAGGATTTATAGTGAAAAACTTTTTTTTACGGGTTAATTTTTTTACTGTTGATCGCAAACAACGGCGGCCGTTCGCTCCGGCCACTTTAGCGCGGCTGCACCGGAGCTTCTCGCAGCGAAAACTTCGGACGATGTTGCCCAACGACCGTGGCACGACCCCCCAAAACAAACAACACCTTTGAGCGCAGAGTAAGAGGTTGATTAAGAAACGTAACGACGGCACCGTCGTTTTAAGCAGCGGCTTTTTTTGCAGCCGATCGAACAAAGACGGACGCCACATCGCGCGCTCTCAGATGTGCTTCCGCGGCCGTCTGGAACGCTCTTTCTTCTGATATTAGGGAGCCACTGGAGCTATGCACTTTTAAATCATCTGGATTGGCAAACTACTTTCTTTAAAACTCAAATGACTACCTAGTGCGGTGTGTAAATTCAACCACCGGGGAGACAAAGGCGGTCAGGCATGGTAGTGTTTACACACCCCACCAGGTACTCATTTGAGGCCGAGTCGACCTAGAGGAGGTGCAGGACCGGTTCAGATAAACGCCACTGGTGCTGGCCGTGAGCGGGAATCAAACTCGGGTCACTGGGGTTCGAAGCGCAGCGCGCTAACTGCTACACTAACCCCCCCCCCCCACACACGTGTGCACACACACACGTGTGTGTGCGCGCGAGTCTAATCGACACATACTCGCTGGACACAAACCATCAGCCGACCCTCCCTCCCTGTAGAGGTTGCCCCCTTCCTTGCCCCCCCCCACTTTCCATGCCACCCACCGCGCCTCTGTAGAAGATGTCACTACGAGCAGTGCCGGATTAAGCTAGTGCGGGGCCTGTAGCATTTGTTATGAAGGGGCTCTAAATAAATAAATAAAACCCACATAAAAAAACACATATTTTTTACTTGCATAGTAAAGTTATTGTATTTTTTCATTTGCTATACAGTCAGATGATAAAACAAATAGCTAACATTAAACACCCGGTCGTTCATAAAAGCTGAAGGCGGTATAGTACTATAGCAATAGAGCAAGTGCAGAATCACTGAACCCGGAATTAATAGCTTTAAAGCATTTAGCGCCGGGCCCTTAACACATGTAGCTACTTTTGCTACTAGGATAATCCAACACTGCCTACGATGGCGGTTTAATGTTGAAACGCCGCCGACAGGTGTCAAAAATGTACCAGTCGCGTCCTATTAATTCAGCGGAGGACACTGGTTTGATTGGCACGGCAGGCACGACGAGGCCATGTGGCATTTGCCTTCAGCTGCCACTTCTGCTGTTCATAGCTGTGCATAAAAATGCATTGCACGCGTGCGGGGGGTGGGGGAGGTAGAGAACTATAACGTATACGCGGTGATTCATTAACGAATGCAATGAATCGGACGTGATCCGTTTACCCGGAATCGCAGCGGTCACTGTATTCCATCCTGGTCGCATGTGTGGCTGTTCGTCTGCGAGAAGGAGATGTAAAACAACAAAAGGGTAACGATTAGCAAATGCAAGCGTGGACAAAATATACGAAGGAAAAAGGTTCGCCCACGGTAGCCTGTTTAGGGGGGGTCGGGGTGGGGTGGGAAAAGTGCCGTTAGCGAGCAATCGATGAAGGCTCGATTACGGTACACGTGGCCGATGGCTGGGCAGCACCGCGCTCGGCCACTTTTACCTCCCCCCCCCCCCATCGCCGATGTTTGCCATGACGCACCGGGCGCTCGGTTAATGCTGAGTCGACCTAGGGGAGGCTCAGGAGACGTTCGGATAATCGTCAGCGGTGTCGTGGAAACAATTAAGGAGCGCAAATCAGAACGGCGCACGATGTAAAGGCGCTGGCGTGAAAAATAATTAAAGAAAAAAAACCAGCTGGTAATTAACTCGAAGAAATGTTCACGAGCTCCGCAGAAGCTCCAAACTTTTGTAAAAAAAAAATAATTCTTTGGCAGCGCATCGCAACACGGACTTGATAGGGGTCGTCCATAAATGAGGAGCCGCGCGTCACCGCACCAGGCGCTGCTCCCCGGAGGAGCGAGGCTCGGCGAGGCCGTGGTCCTCTCCCTCCGCGACCTCCGGGTTCGCGGCGGCGCCGTCGCTGCGCGCTGCCGCCGGCGCATCCGCGAGCTTGGAGGAGGTCCCAGCGGTGCCAGCGGCGGAGGCTCCCGCAGAGGAGGAGCTACACGACAGACCTGCTCGCACGCACACGTGCAGACGTGCACACACACACACGCGCGCACACATACATGTGCACACGCACACACACGCACACACTCACACACGTGCAGACGTGCACGCACACACACGCACTCACACGCGCACACACACACGCGCACGCACGCGCACACGCGCACGCACACACACGCACGCACTCACACGCGCACGCACTCACGCGCGCGCACACGCGCGCGCACACATGCACACACACATATGCACACACACATATGCGCACGTACGGACACACACGCACACGCACGCACACACGCATTATTAACAGACTGTTGGGGCAAGTGCTGTTAGCGAGCTCTTATGAAGGCCGGCATGGCACGCGAAGGGGGTGGGTGGTCAGCACCACGCCCGGCCGCCTTTGTCTCCCTCGTGGCGATGTTTACTACACACCGCGCCAGGTTCTTATTTGAGACCAAGTCGACCCTGATGGACGCCCAGGACCGGTTCAGATAATCGTCACCGGTGTTGGCCGTGAGCGGGTAATCGAACTCGAGCCGCCGGGTTCGCAACGCAGCGCGCTAACCGCTGCACCACCGCTCATCTGCCCGCGCGCACGGGGATTGCGGACGAGGTGAGCGGGCAGCAGTATTGCCGAAACACTCGACAGCGGAAAGTTACGAAACACAATCTCGCTGTACGTCGCGAAAGAGGCCTTCTACAGCCCCTGTACCAGAGGTCGCAAACGGGGTTTGATTCCTTACCCGTACCCGTACCCGGCCGCACCAGGGTCGCAAACGGGTACCCGTACCCATACCCGGCCGGGTACGGGTACCCGTTCCCTACCCGTACCCTACCAGAAATGAGTGACAAACGGTTACTCACCAGTGACTCACGGCCTACCCGTACCCGTACCCGGCCGCACCAGGGTCGCAAACGGCTACCCGTACCCGTACCCGGCCGGGTACGGGTAGCCGGGTATCGGGTAGGGTACGGGTAACGGGTACCCGGTTGCGACCTCTGCCCTGTACCAAATCCGCTGCACGTGGAGTTTCGCTTGAGCCTACTTCGCCACGCTGGGTCGGCGCGGGTTGCTGAAAGGGGTGCGTCCCATCCTCGGCGAACATCGCCAACGATGTTAGCCGAGGATGGGATTCGAACTGTGGTCACCGCGTCGCCTTCTGAGCTAGCGCTTCCGATGAGCGCGGTTGGCGAGGTACGGTGCGACAGACGTTCAACACGCGGTGCCGTAACACACGAGACAATTCTCCCAAAATCGCACAGACAGGAAAAAAACAACGAAACTGATCCGGGATCCTCAACACACAAACCCGGACTCGCTTCTGAATCTGCACAATGATGTCGGCGTCACATCCCAGAGAGTCGGAGGATTTGTGGCGAGTTGCTCTGGCAAAGTGTTTTGCGAGAAAATGTTTTTAATTTTCGATTTAAAGCTTTCGTGACTGCAGGGATTCATCTTCTCGGTTCTTTCGGTAAAGTCACGTAGAAGAGAAATAATAAAAGAATAAAAATAAAACATAATAAAAAATATAATAATATAATAAAATATTTTATTATGTTTTATTTTTATTATTTTATTATTTCTCTTCTACGTGACTTTACCGAAAGAACCAAGAAGATGTTTTTAATTGTTGTTGCTAGTTTGGGTGACAGCACCGCTGAGTTTGTGTGTGTGCAGCGTGGGGGGCGGGGATGCGGGTGGGGGGGCTGGAATGAACACCTGCTTATGGGCCGTCCATAAATGACGTCACGCGGTTTCGGATGATTTTTGACGAACCCCCCCCCCCCCCCTTCGTCACACGGCGTCACAAAAAGTCAGACCCCCCTCCCCTTCAAATATGACGTCACAATAGCTCTGCCCCCCTCCCTAAATAAATTAAAACATGCTTCAAATCGCTTTAAACCTATTGTCATTGTAGTGCGTATTTAATGTGGCGCTGCACTCCGATGTTGTAGGAGAAAACATTTATTAAAAAGTCTATTTAATTAAGTAGAACGTGTTGTCCATATTTATTTAAAGTTGCGCATTTTTATGTGACGTCACATTTCTCAACCCCCCCCCCCTCGTCACACATCGTCACAAATGTCTGACCCCCCCCCCCCAGGTGCGTGACGTCATTTATGACGGCCCCTTAGCACTTAGACGGTCGACGATACGTTACCGCCCGTCAACTACAAGTCCAGCTCCTGGTCACCGATGACCACTCTGGCCACATTCAATCTGATCCGCCACTTGATCTGGCGAAATGCCACCTGCGAACATTTACGAATCTCAGTTTGCCAAGTGTGGGAGAAGTACAGCCACCTCCGGCGTGAATACGTGGTGACATCATGTCAAGCCGCCTTTCGAAAAACACAAAAACAACAGATGTTTGGCTTCCCGTGTGATATTTTTAATTTTTCCACGGGCCGAATTTATAAACAAGGGCTTATCCACTACTCTGCTCGCGTGCCAAATGATTGCTTTGTCTCAAGACACAATGCAGTTGAACAAATGCAGGATAATATAACAGGATGTATATATATTAATACATTTGTGCTTGACCTTGGGGTTCTGAGTGGATGATTTGTCTTATTAAAATGATTCCGAAGCACAACTGGGGCGAAAGTGGAGGATAAAAACTGGGAGAATAGCAAACATAAAAACAGCTACACGACCGTGTAATTAAAATAATTTCAGATGCTTAATTGACTAGGCCATTAAGCAGACTGCATCGCAGCTGAAGGCTAACCTACATTCTGCACGGAAGATTAAATTGCCGACCCAAAAAGGCTTCGATTTACTCTTTCTTCGTGTTGAGCAGTTTGGCAATCGAGAGGAGCTGCTGCATCAGCAGGTAACAAATAATAATAATGAAACAACAGGTAACCACGCGAAATTATTCCCTTCACATTACAGACGAGTGGTTCTCATTACGCTTTGCGGCTGAGGGTTGAAAAAGCGCAAACGCTTTAGCGCCGTGAGGACTTTTTTTTAAAAAATACGATCCAAAATGAGCACAATTTGAGCGTGAAAGTTGCGTCGCCCCATTGAAGACCGGACCACACTCATCAAAAGGCTTGCCCAAAACACGGCTGATCAACAACAACAAAAAAACAGCGCTAAAAGGTTCGGCCTTGCAGGACGCACGCCCCATCCGCCAGCGACGACGCCGTCGCACGCGACGGGCGTTTTGATCGTAACGTTAAATGCGCTTTAATGTGTCAATCTGTGAAGCGCCCTGTGACTATGTCATTGTGGGCGTCGAGCGAAGTCAGTGCCGCAAAAAACGTTGGACTCGACCCGTTCCGTCCGTGCGGTATCGAGTGTTTGCTTGGTTTTTTTGCCGGGTTTCGTGGGTTCCACTCACACGGCCGATAACGCCTTAATATATGGAGGACTGCTGAGCTTGGGCATTTTTTGGCGTCGATTCAAAACGCCTGGCTGCCATCCAGCTCGTCCGTGGTTCCTCACGCCTCCGAATGATTCCCTCTCTTCTAGAGCGAGCGAATGGTCACTGCGTACGCTCCAAGTTGAAATCATAACAACAATTTTTGTTCCGCCTGAGGACGACCACTTGTGTTGCGATCGAAACGTCGTGATTTATTTTATTTCATACCTACGTACTGAAAGAACCGAAGAGTATTGATCCCTGCAGTCACGAAAGCTTCAAATGAAGATCGAACAATTATAATTATCTGATGATTCACTGGTGAATCAAAACGATAATCAATGAAATGTCAATAACTTAAAACGAATCGAATAGGGTAGCTCTTGACTGCAAACGCGAATTTTGCAGTTTTATAAAAAAAGGAAATACCACTGAAGGGTCCTCGGACGGGCAAACGGACAAAGTGACACAATGTAATATTTTAAATCGGGCACAGAAATGAATAATCTATTGTCTCCACCGAACAAAACGAGCGTCAGCATCCAAGGATGTCAACGGTCACACGCTCGCCGACTTTCGCTGCAAAGTTTCAAAATTGGCACTTTAAACAACAGCAAATGTAATTAAAATGTGATTTCAGTGGCTACGAAGCACCCTATTTTTTAGTTTTGTTTTTAAGAATCGCCGGGGTAATGTGGATTTATGCGTGAGAAGTGTTTTTGTCGCTGCAGTGAAAACTGCGTCTTTCGGCCGTCAATTTGTTTTCGTCGCAACGGTGAGAAATGAAGGCGGCAATATCAGCAGCTCTCGCGAGTAAACACAATTGTGGGGGGAGAAAAAAAGTTACATCAAATAACGAAATATATATTTAAAAAAAAACGGTGAAGAGAAGAAAATAACTAAAATAATAAACACCGAAAAGGAGACACAGCGCTGTTCGGCATCTCAAACCGACGTGATAAATAAGAAATAAAATACGTGGATGTCTGTTTCGCTGCCAAAACAAATAAAATAAAATGTAATTTACTGTCCTTCGGCCCACGGGCCCTGCTGGCCCCAGTGTGTTCCAGCGACGTTCATGGGACGGTGACACGGCCCAAAGACCAGCGCGCTTGCCCTGTGCCGTTGCAAGCGTGATGCAGTTCGAGCCGGCGACCGACCCTGGTTAACCCTTTCCCGTTCAGAGGCAAATGCAAGTTGCGGGGTGCGGGTCCCGTTAACCTCTGAATCTCGGGAACTCGCAAGCGGCTCGGCGTTGATTCAATTTTTTTAGAGGAGGCGTAGTAACGCCGTTGTTTTTAAAGACGTCGCTACTCACCGCAGAGGGACACAGTGACATGACCGCATTCTATGATAGCTGGCGCCAAGCTGGGCCACACGCCCCTCCCCGCTTGGCCTTGTGGGAACCTCGGTACCGATAAAGTGACTTTATTTTCGTTTTTATTCCGGTTTCGTTTTGACGATATGCACGTACATCATCGGAACTGAAGGGGAAGAAAAGCTGGCCAAACGAAGCTAAACTCCGTCTGTTGCATAGTGGACGAAAAACAGTACGGTCCATATTTTGCCAAATATTATAAGTAACTCAGAAATTACCGATTTACTCCAAAGTTTATTTGATTTGATCTCACGGC